GAGGGAGCCATTTCTGGGTGTCTCTGAGGGGAAGGGGGGTCCCTGAGGGGGTGAGGGAGCCATTTCTGGGTGTCTCTGAGGGGATGAGGGGTCCCTGAGGGGGAGAGGGAGCCATTTCTGGGGGTCTGTGAGGGGATGGGGGTCCCTGAGGGGGTAAGGGAGCCATTTCTGGGGGTCTGTGAGGGGATGGGGGGTCCCTGAGGGGGTGAGGGAGCCACTTCTGGGAATCTGTGAGGGGATGGGGAGTCTCTGGTCACCAAGCGGATGGGGGAGCCATGTCTGGGGGTCCCTGAGAGGATGGAAAGGCCTGGAGAGTATGGGGGGCTGTGCCTGGGGTCCCCAAGAGGATGCAGGGGTCCCTGAGGGGATGGAAGAGCCAAGTCTGGGGATCCCTGAGGGTTTTGGGGTCCCTGAGCAATGCTGTGAGGGGTCATGCCCAGAGTGCTGAGAAGTTGATGGGCCTTCCTACTTCCTAAGTCTCAATTATACTTGTCCAGCATTAAAATCTATTAAAAATGTCTATTATTCTTGTAGTCGCTTCTAAATCTAAAGGGCAGTGAAAGGGGGCTCCTCCCAGCATGGTTATTCAGTCCCTTGCTTTTTTAGTGACTGGGTTTGCCAGTGAGGCTGGGGAATATTTTAGGTAGTTCCTTCGTCATCCTGATCAAGTACTTTTTTCCCCTCAGGTATGTGGTACTGACCACAAAGCATCATGAAGGCTTCACCAACTGGGGGTCGTCCATGTCCTGGAACTGGAATTCTCTGGATACGGGGCCCCACCGTGATCTTGTAGGAGAGCTGGGACAAGCCCTCAGGGAGAGGTACAGTCCTGCCAAACCGAGCTGTTGCTTTCACCTGTGTGCATTGAATTCTGTTCTTGGCAAATAGTGGAAAACAATGAGTTCACTATGAAGAAAGTAATGCTTGCAAACTCATGATATCTTCTGTGAAATAATAATGCCAGTAATCTAATCTGTCACTGGTTCTTAATCCTTACTGCCAGCCTAACTCTTTCCTCTGTGTTTTCTGTCTTTCAGCAACATACGCTATGGACTTTATCACTCTCTGTTAGAGTGGTTTAATCCACTCTATCTAGCTGACAAAGAAAGTGACTTCAAGACCCAAAACTTCGTTTTAAAGAAGACCATGCCAGAACTTTATGATCTTGTCTTAAAGTAAGAGCTGCAACCAGTTAGGAATCAAGAGCATTTCCTGGTTTCAATACTGTAGAGAAAGATGCAAGGTGGATGCAGAGGAGAGAGGAGACAAATGTTAATTTTTTGCCAAGGCAAATCTGTTTACTTATCAGTAATGATTTGTGGTAATTAGAGAAGAGTTTCACATTTGCCCTGTGGACAGTCTTAATTTGTAGAATAAAGTAGGGATAATTTTTTCATGCAAGAGCAATTCCCTTTAATACTTACTGCCTTTGTGCAGGGTGGCTTTGAAAGTAAAGCAAGCTGCTTCGTGTTTAGCAGAGTGGAGGAGTGATTTTACTGCAAATTTACATCTTTGCCTTCCTTCCCCTTGTTGACAAAAATATGAGGCGTGGACACGTGTTGCTCAGAATATCCGTTATCAGGAAAAGAATGTGCCTCATAATTGCCTTTGAGATGCAAACTTCTGGTATTTGAAAGAATTGCATCCTCTCTTGAGCCGTGATCAACACATCATTCTTTGCTGCTGCAAGAACCTCACTTAAAGCTTTGTCTGAAGCTGAAAGTGATAGCATAAAGCTCCTGGTAACATTAGCAATAGGAAGAGGAAGTGAAGCTAGACTCCAGATGCAAAAAACACAGTGCTTCCTTCTTGGTAGGAGAAAATAAGCCATTTTGAAATAACATTCATCTCTCTGTTAGATATAAACCAGATTTGATTTGGTCGGATGGAGACTGGGAAGCTCCGGAGTCGTACTGGAATTCTACCTCTTTCCTTGCCTGGCTTTATAACGATAGTCCTGTCAAGGTATCACTTTGAGCTCCCCTGCATGGCTGCTAGCATTTTATGGGTATGGAAGGTCTGGCAGCAGTGAGAAATGAATGTGATCAAATCAGAAACCTGCTTGGCAGATGCCAAATGTGCTTTATTCTTTTGTAAAAAAAAAAAAAAAAAAAAAAAAAAAAGCAGCCTATACTGTGCTTCTCTGAGAAGACTCTAGTGTCCTTTACAGCACACACATGGGAGGCTCAGAGGTGAGGAATCTTGTTGCCTCAACTTCTACCTGATTGAATAGAGAGACGTTCTCCCAGAGAGGGATTCAGCCTCCTCTGGAGGACCCTCTCTCTTTCCACTGATTGCCCAGGGGGGTTTAGCTGCCTTCCTAACTTAGATGCCTCTGCAAACTTAGCAGGGGGGGCAAATGCAAGCTGAAAAGTCCAAGACAAAATATTCTCCCTACTGAGTTGCATTTCTTCTTTCAGGACACTGTTGTTGTTAATGATCGCTGGTGTAATAACTGCTCCTGCCATCACGGAGGCTACTACAATTGTGCTGACAAATACAAGCCAGGGACCCTGCTAACTCACAAGTGGGAGATGTGCTCCTCCATTGACAAGCTCTCCTGGGGCTATCGAAGCAACATGAACATTGCTGAGTTAATGGATGAAGCAAGTATCATTGAGGTAAGAAATCTGAAATCGAAATAACAGGTTTGGGGGAGTTACTGGGAATTAGAGGTTTCTTTCATCCTTCTACTTGCTGAAAGAGTTGTTGTGTTTCATACAGTCAGGCTGGAGTTAAAGGAGCTGTTGATGAGGACAAAGCCCTCCTCGGGTTCCTTTGTTGTCAGTAGTGAGGACAATGCAATCGGTTACCTTGATTTATCTGTCACAGGAGCTAGTGCAGACTGTGAGTTTTGGAGGCAACTACCTTCTCAATGTGGGACCTACAAAAGAAGGGGTGATTGTTCCCATCTTCCAAGAAAGACTTTTGGCCCTTGGGAGGTGGCTGGACACTAATGGGGAGGCAATTTATGAATCCAAGCCGTGGAGAGTGCAGATGGAGAACAGCACAGACACAGTCTGGTAAGGACTCCATTGCTCAGTACCATCTGGGCTGAGACTTCCAGAGCTCACATTTCTTTCTTACTCGTTCTTAAATTTGGTACACTCTGAAGTGTTGCCATCAGGTGCAGATGGTGTTTAAGTAATATCCTACCATTGGAGTGCTCAGTTACTGCCCCAGGGTGTTATCTAAGGAATATTTTGCTTGAAAGAAGAGAATAAAAATCAGGACTTAATCCATCTTGCTTGATTTGAAAAAAAAACCCAAAACCAACCTCTTCCTTTAAAAAAGTTTCCATGCTGCTCCTGTCAGGATTGTTTAAGTAGTGGTCCTGGCTAGTTTGAATTGCACAAATGTAGTTCATGTAAACACACACAGTTTGTAAATTTAGAGATACTTGCTTTTAAGCTGTTATATAACAGTGCTAGTCACCGTTACCAGACTGTTAAGTTTTATGCTGACTGAGAAGGGCATAGTAAGTCAGGAGCCAGAAATTGCTACAAAACAGTTATTTTTCTTCCTCAAGTGTGCCCAAGTGTGTTAAGTCTAGAGATGCAGATTAACGATCGAGATAAGGTTCTGTCCACCAGAAGTTGAGGCAAAGACAGTTCTGCAAATGACATTTGCTTTTAAGAAGCACAGCGGACTTTGTTTGGGTTTCATCAGCCAGTGCTGACTGGGTAAATGGTGGGTCCAAAGTGACAGATTTTGGAATGAGGGGAAAGTAGGTGACCCCTGTGCGGTGACAGTAGGCAAGCCGGTGTTCTCGTGCTGTCTAGAAAGGTCAAGCTCATACCTGGTTCTCTCTCTTATGAGGCTCTTGACCTTGCTGAACTCTTGCTCTCTTAGGTACACTTCTAAGGGACCAGCTGTCTATGCCATCTTTCTGATCTGGCCTCGGGACAACGTTTTGAAGCTGTCCTCACCCAC